CGGGACAAGCTATATATACAAGCCATTCTTTGAAGATTAAGCCACTTGAAACCCGAAGGTCCTTCAATAGTGGAGTGTTCGACGCATCCAATTGAAGAATCAGAGGACCAACACAACACATAGATTTTTAACCGCACCGAATTAATACTTAGACATGTAATCAGAATTTTGAATTTTGAATATATATAATTCAATTTTCTTTGTTCACAAACATTCCAAACCTTTTTAAAATCATCATAGAAACTAGAAAGCATCATAGACTCGCATCACGTGACTAAGATAATCTCTTTCACTCATTTCCATCCATCCATCATTATATCGTGCACTAGGGCGCACACTACATTGTGCACCTTGACCAAAACGACGTCGTTTTTATTGTTCAGATTTTATGTGTATTATATTATGAGTTTATGTGTATTATGTATTATATGTTATATTATGTGTATTCTGTTATGAGTTTATGTGTATTCTATTAAGAGTTTATGTGTATTATGTTATGAGTTTATGAGTTTATGTGTATTATGTATTATGTTAGATTATGCGCATTATGTATTATGTTAGATTATGCGTATTATGTTATGAGTTTATGTGTATCATGTATTATGTTAGATTATGTGTATTCTGTCATGAGTTTATATGTATTACGTATTATGTTAGATTATGTGTATTCTGTTATGACTTATGAGTTTATGTGTTTTCTTTTATGAGTTTATGTACATCCGAAATAGAGAATTTTTCTTTTCTTTTGAATTTAACAGTAGAAACGGGAAACATGATTTCCAAAAAAAAAAAAACACATGATCAAAACGACGTTGTTTTGGCCAAGGCGCACACATGATCAAAACGACGTCGTTTTGGCCAGAGCGCACAATGCATTGTGCGCCCGGGTGCACGGTATAATTTGCCCATTTTCATCAATGTCCTAGAATTGATTGGGAGTGTCTTTCTTCTTGATTTTAGTCTTTTGTAGACCCAAATCTATCTTTTAATGTGGGGAAAGTAAAAATCTCATTGCTTATTCCTAAAGCATCTTTATCAGTTAGAGATTTCGTCAGTTTTTTTTTTTTTTTTTTTTTTTTTTTTTTTTTTTTAATCAAAAAGTTGAATTTTCAATTCTAAGTACAAGAAACTTGCCCACTAGATTTTATCTGATTTTTATTTTTCTTCTCTCAAAATGTTGAATTTTCAATTTTATAAGCACAATAGATTTGTCCACTTTAAACATAACTTTTACATTATCAATGCCGAGATTTGAACATTGATTTCTTTTCTCAAATACTGCCTACTAAACCATTAAGCTAAACAAATATGCATGAGTTTTTGTCAAATTTCTTTATGCCACATAGGGAGGAGGGAGAGAGATGAAATAAGAGAAAAAAAAAAAGAAAAAAGAAAAAACAATTTTACACGCCTAGAGGGAGCGGGTAGGGCACGTGTTTCATGCACCAAGAAAGGTGATTTCTTTTATTCACCGAGACCCACAAAAAACAAATCTCACATATAATTTTTTTATTTCGTTTTCATCTTTTTTTCTTTCCTCCAAATTAATATCTTTCTCCTCCATCAACACATAAAATACCCCAAAATCGATGATGGTGTTGCTTTAATTGTCTACTTCCATTGTCAGTTTTTTTTCCTCCACATTGGAGATAGGACTAGAGGAGGATGAATAAGGAAAAAAATGAAAACAAGTAAAAATAATTAAAAAAAAAGACTTATTAAATGCGCCCAGCGGGCAACTCGCACTAGCGGGTCTCTTTTTTCTTTTACGTACGAATTCATAAAAAAATTATTTTCTTTCGGTATTTGTTTCTCCAATAGTTATGCTGTGCATGATGCACACGGTTGCAAAACGACATCGTTTTGATTAAAAACGCGCATTCTATTTAAAAAAAATTCAGTTTTGATTCCCCTTAACAACATTATTGTGGATATATAGTTATGAATTTGTGGATATATAGTTATGAATTTATAGATATTTAGTTCATTCATTGTGGATATTTAGTTCATTCATTGTGGATTTTGTGTTATTCATTCACGGTGGATATAGTTATGAATTTGTGAATATATAGTTATGAATTTGTGGATATATAATTCAAATTATGCACAAAAAAATGCTATTGCCGGGAATCGAACCTGATTTTTTTTTTTTTTTTTTAAGTGGGACGCGCGTTTTTAGTCAAAACGACGTCGTTTTTGCAACCGTGTGCACCATGTATGGTGCACACGGTTGCACAGCATAATTTGCGTTGTTTCTCTTCCCTCCAGGGATGGAGCCATAAATTCGGTTGAGGGAAGGCGAAGAAGTAGGGACGTATTCTGAATTTTTTTCCAGTAAAGGCGAAACATTAAAACAAAAGAGATAATTTTAAAAAAATAAATAAATTATCTAAGAAATATAGTTGTAAATATTGTTGCATAATTGGCGAAAAATAAAATACATCAAAACTTTATAAAAATATTCATAACAAAATATGAAGCATAATTAATTTGATAAAATAATTTGAGCACATCTCATTATTAATATAAAAGAATATTATATTATACATATATTTGTGTTGATGCCAAAATTTGAACCTTTGACCTTTGCTATTACCAACCATGTATTTGGCCAACTAATATAATTCATTTTTTGTTGACATTAATAATTGTTTTATACTAATATTAAATCCTGTACTATATATACATATATACATACAAAGATTATATATGGGGTTGGGGTGGGGGAAAGCTGCACCCCGCCCCCTTTGGCTCTGTCCTTGCTTCCCTCCACATAACAAAAAAATAAAATCATAGAAAAAACACTGCTGAAAATGCTGAATAACAAACAAATAAAAGCACGTACAGTACTTTAAAAGAGAAGAAATCAGTAGCAACAGAACACACAGGGTTGAGTTCTACTTTATATAACTGTACATACAATGATACAACACGTTTCCTAGTTAATATCCTCTATCAAAGGGGGAGGAGCCCAGGGCTGCCGGCTCCATCAATGTTGAATTGCATGCCAGTAAACAAGATATATATATATATATATATATATATATATATATATATATATATATAATGACTTATGTTGTGTATATAGTGCAGTCCATTGTGGATTCCTCTTTTGGGTCTAATGGAGTAATGGTTGCAGCTGCTTTGCTTCCATGTTTTTCCCCAACAAGAAGCCATACAGGCCCACTATCAGTAGTAATCCGCCACACAAGCTTCAAAACACATCAAAAAAAAAAATTTCACCTCAGCTGTCTATATATATTATATAGCCTTTATGTCAAATCCCTTACAACTATTAATTATTGATAGAGTTAATACCTTATTTAGCCTCTCAATTATTAAGATTTTATCACTTTGATCAACCACTTTAAAACTTGTTCAATTTCATTTTCAACTATGCAACTGTTAATCAAAATGGTCATAATCAGGACTATTTTGATTTGAGTTAATACCTAAAATCGTCCTCGACTATAGTGGTTTTTCTCAATTTCGTCCTAAACGACTTTGGTGACCTAATATCGTCCCAGACTTTTGTGTTTCGCTCAATTTAGTCCTCCATTTGTTATTCCGTCAAATTGGTGTTAAATAAAGGGACAATTCAGTAATGTCAATATTGATCTCTCTTTACTTTCAACTTGTGAAGTGCGAAATTCCTCTTTCTTGTACGAATTACACCCAGAATTACTCCCGGACCTGCAAATCAAATTTTATATTCACAGTTTTAGGAGTAATTCTGGGAGTAATTCGTAAAAAAAAAAAAGGATTTCGCAGTTCACATGTCTATGAGTAAAGAGATGCCAATATTAAAATTACTGAATTGTCTATTTATTTAACACCAAATGGACAGAATAACAAATGAGGGACTAAATTGAGAAAAAACACAAAAGTCTGGGACTAAATTGAGCGAAACACAAAAGTCTGGAACGATATTATGTCACCAAAGTCGTTTAGGACGAAATTGAGAAAAACCACTATAGTCGAGGACGATTTTGGGTATTAACTCATTTTGATTTGGACAAATGACTATTTTAGGTAAAATTTGCATAGTTGGGGATGAAATTGAACAAGTTTAAAAATAGAGGATCAAAGTAGTGAAATCCTAATAGTCGAGGGAGAAAATCAAGTATTAACTCTTATTGGCATAAAGATAAACAATAGAGCAAATACCAATTTTGGTCCCACGAGTATTAGCAGCGCAAAATGTCAGTTTTGGTTCTCATGTTTAATACTCACCAATTTTCATTAATGACTATTGTTTTACTACCAAAATTCATCACGTTGGTCACCCCTCTATTTAGGATATGACGGAATATGAAATTATTAAGGGTATTTTCATCCTTTCATAATTAAGATCCCATTTTGAGCATGAATAAATGGATTTAAACCCTAAAATCTCAATTCGCCGTTCTCCTCATTATCCTTCTTCTCCTCCTTATTCATTTAAGAATTGAAGGATGAGGAGGAGAACGACAAATTGAGATTTTAAGGCTTAAATCACTTTATTCATGTTTGAATTGGAATTTTAATTATGAAAGGACAAAAATACCCTTATAATTTTATATTCCCACATGTTTTAAATGGAGGGGTGATCGGCGTGATAAATTTTGACACAAAAATAATAGTTGTAGATGGGAAAATTGAACATGTAAATTAAAATTATCATTTTTTTTTTGGTATATACCACAAGGTGGTCCGGGTCTGTCTCTGTCCGTTTAACAGTCAGGTCTACCCGACTAATCCCCATTCGCTCCGGGAGGCACGGGTGCTGACCCAAGGAGAATCACACTTAAATTGTCCCGAAATTCTCCCCACAAAGAGAGCTCATTTGCCACTTGAGCTACTGGATTAAAATTGTCATTTTGTTAATAAACTGTCTGTCATGCGCAAATGAGGTCGGGGTAAGGTAGAACCAATTCACCGTACCCAATTAATTCAGTAATTTCCGATTGGTAATAAACTAAATAAATGAATCCACAATCAAGGATATGCATTACAGTAAATCAAGTACCTTCCCAAATAAAGTTTTTCCTTCCACAAAATGCAGAAACTACTGCAGTTACAATGAGTGCTAGTGGAGTAAACATGGCCACGAAGACTGGCCCTTTCTTATCCACTGTAAAAAGTTGTAACCAATATGTAATGCCCGTCACAATTATGCCCTGCACCAATATTTACACAAAATATCTACTCAGTCGAGATAGATGCTTGCAGTTATAAATTATTACTTATATGTGAGAATCAGAATAAATACATTTGAGATAGAAATATACACAATAGGCGACTGAGAGGAGATTAATATCCCAGTGAAGCTTCCATGATGAAGTATCCCTTACCATTGCCATGGCCCAAACCGAAGACTGCACGCAGCTAAACAAACACTGCAGAGTTGTGAGGCGTACCTTTGCCGGATATTGTTTTAGCACATGTGCCTGCTTTGTACTGTGTTAGAATCAAACGCTTATCACTACGTCAAAAGCTATAACTCACAGCAAAAACGTAACTTTATTTAGTATCTTGCCACATTTTCTTCTTCCAACCCTAAGGGCCTCCGCCCGACAACAGACAGGGTAAAATGTCGGTGCACACAAGGGATCTGTCCACTTTGGGCATAATCTCCATAGTCGCTGCCAAGTTTTGGTTTATTCTCCCAAATACTATGTACTGAACCATTGAGTTAAGTCCGTGCGGCTATTGTAAGATTTTTCTTAATATTATATATTATATATTATATATTAGGGCCTTAATTAAGTGGTGCAAATGGACTAGGCTTATTAAGTGGTCTGGTTGGACTGAATAACTAGAAGTTGTTAGTCCACCAAACTCTGTGCCTAATATAATCCTGGATTGATGGGATACAGGATGATTGATGTTAGCACATTCAGTTACGGTACTCTGCTTAGTAGATACCAATACACCATCAGGTATGAGGCAAAACATGGCTAACGGTCTACCGTTAAGAGGCAACACAACAGGAACATCAACTATGGCTGGAGATCTAAATGGCTACGCTTCCGCTCTCATACGAGGTCAAGTTTCTCGTATACTATGGTTCATTATAGTTAGACTATTTAGATCTAACAGCTATTCTACCACATTTTCGAAAGGCATAGTGTTAAACTTGCCTTTTTACTCGCCTCTACCCAACACATGCATATATGGAGAAGGAGAAGGAGAAGATATATACATATGTAGATACATGTATATATACATACCTGCATTAAGTACCACATTGACCATAGTTTTTGGGAAGAATGATATGAACATTTTGGCTTGACTAGTTAATTAGCTTGTTTTTTTTTTTTTTTTTTTGTGGAAGTTAATTAGCTTGTTTTATCTCTATGCAATGATTGATGTCCAACTCACAAGTAATTACTATTTAGATTAAGAATATAATGTGCTGCTGTAAATTAGAGTAGTTACCTAAAAATTAATTAATGTGCATTTAGTAACAATCTCTAATTGATAAAAGTAGAGTAACTAGCATTGTACAACAAAAGAATGCATGTCATGATGTCTCTTATAGTTAGGACAGAACACTCCGTGATCTAACCAAATATCATCTTTTCCACTGTCACTAGTGCATGTCCATTATTCCTTAATTTCCAGGGATATCATCTATTCTTTTTTTGTTTTCCTTGATTTAGGTTTTCTAATTTTGTCGAACTCTATCATAGACTCGATGAAGCTAAGTAATGCGCACAAGGAATTTAATCCAAATTCAATTATTAATGTTCGTGGAATTTAATCCGAATTCAATTATTAATGTTCGTGGCAAGAATTGAACCCTCACCCTATCATTAAAATCATGTTTAACTGAGATTCTTCATCTACTAGATCAATACCTGATGAAAACATCATCCATTCTCTTCTTCACATGCTTTCAATTCCTCATACATTTGTCCTCATCTCATCGATCTTCATTCTCATCATGCACGCAATATAATCCCCATAAAAAAATATGATCTTGAAACCTTTTTCCCAAAGAATCTGATTCTCTAATCCCTTGAAATTAACTTGTTTTAATTTCTTCCGATCCTCACTCAATCCCTCTTCACTTGTCTATTGTTATCTTGTTTTTTCATATAAATGTGAGATGTATCAATTAGGGGAGGGGAGAAAATATATTCTATTTGGCGAGTTGAAAATTGAAATGCATTTAAAAAAAAAAAAAAAGATATTGGGTTCATGTAGAGAACCAACATCATATAAAATACTCAATTCTCAAGAAATGCCCACAAAAAATAATGTTGATTGATTTGAAAAGGCTCATAAAAGACCACGTCAATTTTATATTTAGGTGGATGACTATGTAATTTGTATCATATTTGGTTCTGCCGTTCAATTTTCCGACAACTATTGCTGGAAGTGCTTCTTCCGGAAGAAGCAAATGTAGTGGTCCTCCTAGAAGGAGGACTTCCGACAATAGTTGACCGAGAAATTTGAAAACATGACCAAATGTGATACAATTACATTGTCATAAACTTAATTAAAAAGAATTTAATAGTCAATGACTAAATGTGATTCATATATAATAGTTAGGGAGAGGAAGAGGAGGTATTCGGATGCAAGGGAATTCAATAATGACATGTTTGGTTCATGGAATAGGTCAGGAATAGAATAACATTCCTTGGAATAGACCTATTCCATTGTTTGGTTGGATCATTTTGTCATTGGAATAACATTCTTAGGAATGAGCTATTACCTTTGTAAGGGGAATAGTCATTCCTAGGGGGGCTTTGGTATTAGCTATTCTCATGCCCTTGGGAATAACTTTTATAGCACAAATACCAAAAATACCCTTTGCACATTATTTAATATTTATATTTATTTAATAAATATAATGTATTATATAAATATATATATTTAATTAATTATAATTTTTATCTATCAAAAAATATATATATATATATATATATATATATATATATATATATATATATATATATATATATATATATATATATATATATATATAATTAACTGTATAAAACTCTTTAATTATGGAGCCTTGCTCCTAAATTAAGTAGCCTGCACATCTGCATGCCTAGCTGATGGGCATTGCAAGCTTGCCTAGCGGATGAGCATTGCAATTGAAATTATGAAGACTTGAGGTTCCTTTTATAGGAGCCTCAAGACTCCATTCCTCATTTCTCCAACCGATGTGGGATAAGTGTGGAATTAAATATAAATATAAATATGTATTTTTATAATAATAATAATTGATGGTTTTTGGGTTTTCGGGCCCAAGGAGGTCCAACACAACCTTTAGCTGGAGGATACACCTTTCAATAAAGCTTGCTAAAATAATATGGACTCGATGATTTTGACGTGGAAACCGAAAGGAAAACCACAGGCCTTTTTGGGCGGTGCCAAGCCTAACTTCACTACGTATTTTGGAGGTGCCTTTGTACATATTGTAGGACTATTTTGTACATGTAATATGGAAATATTGTGAGGGGGGAGCTGTACTTGGTACATTGAGATAGAGTAGGCTTCTTGACGCGTGGAAGAGTGGTGGAGCCTTCTTGGTATATTGTGGAATGAGGCCTTCTTGGGAGAGTAGTTGTGGGAGAGTGATAGTAGTCTTCAAGAGTGTAGGAAGAGTGCTTGGGAGAGTCCTCCCATGTGTGTATGAGTGAGTGGTCTTCTCTTGGGAGAGTGGTGTAGGAAGAGTGCTTGTATGTAGGAATGAATGATATGTCTTCTTGAGGGAGAAAGAGTAGTGAGTGGTAGGAGTATTATTTGTTTGGTGATGTGGCGTAGTGCCCCCTTCCATCCTCAACCCCCCCCCCCACCCCCCCCCCCCCCTTTTACCTTGCTGCCTTCCTCCTTTTATAGCTAACCAAATAGTGTACGTTGGGTGGGTGTTTAGTAGGAATGATGGGTAATAATGGTGGTTTAATTGGGTAGTAAATAGGATAAGGGGTTATGGGTATTAAGTTGGGGGTTAGGATGAGGTAATTTGAATAGGTAATGAATTGGTAGTAATGGGGAATAATGGGTTGAGAGGTTATAATAGGAGGTTTAATGCGTAACAAGTTGGTTGATAATGTAGGAATAACGGCTAGTTTAGGCCGACCTTCTACCCGTGTCGATTCCACACTCGCGCCGACTCCTCGGTTTGGCTCGTATCTCTTTTGGGCTTAATCCATTTTCCTCTTGGGCTTCTCTTCTTCTTCTTGGGCCCCGAGCCCACGGGGTTCACACCCCATCAACTAGTCCCTCACTTTTCTATGTCTCGTGCTTAGTAGGGCATGGAAAAGTATATCGTCTTGGCTCAAAATTCCCTTTATTAGCCCCTTCGATTTTTTTGCCGACTCTTTATTCAAGATTCCACACGACTCCATCCTCATGATTTCTCTTCGTTTTCCATATGACCGACTTCTTCAGTGGATGTGACCCTCTGGTTTCGAGCCCCCTTTCTTCTTTAGCCGTCGAGGGGAGACTCGGCCGTAACTCTTTCTTTCTCTAATAAACTTCTAAGGGTTCGGACCCTGGATTCCTTCTTTATTCGCCGAGTCCCTCAGTCGAGGCGACTCGCCGAGTCCCTTAGTCGAGGCGACCCCCGTAGGCTTTTTCTCTGAAACGTCTAAGGGTCAGTGCCGTTGTTTCCTATCTTTTCTTGCCGAGTCCCTCGGTCGAGGCGACCCATTTAGGCTTTTTCTATCTCAGAAACAGTTTAGGGTCAGTGCCCCGTCATTTCTCTCTATACTTGCCGAGTCCCTCAGTCGAGGCGGTTCCTGTAGGCTTTTTCTCGGAAACGTCTAAGGGTCAGTGCCCTTGTTTCCTATCTTTCCTTGCCGAGTCCCTCGGTCGAGGCGACCCATTTAGGCTTTTTCTATCTTAGAAACAGTTTAGGGTCAGTGCCCCGTCGTTTCTCTCTATACTTGCCGAGTCCCTCAGTCGAGGCGACTCCTGTAGGCATTTTCTCGGAAACGTCTAAGGGTCAGTGCCCTTGTTTCCTATCTTTTCTTGCCGAGTCCCTCGGTCGAGGCGACCCATTTAGGCTTTTTCTATCTCAGAAACAGTTTAGGGTCAGTGCCCCGTCGTTTCTCTCTATACTTGCCGAGTCCCTCAGTCGAGGCGACTCCTGTAGGCTTTTTCTCGGAAACGTCTAAGGGTCAGTGCCCTTGTTTCCTATCTTTTCTTGCCGAGTCCCTCGGCCGAGGCGACCCATTTAGGCTTTTTCTATCTCAGAAACAGTTTAGGGTCAGTGCCCCGTCGTTTCTCTCTATACTTGCCGAGTCCCTCAGTCGAGGCGACTCATGTAGGCTTTTTCTCGGAAACGTCTAAGGGTCAGTGCCCTTGTTTCCTATCTTTTCTTGCCGAGTCCCTCGGTCGAGGCGACCCATTTAGGCTTTTTCTATCTCAGAAACAGTTTAGGGTCAGTGCCCCGTCGTTTCTCTCTATACTTGCCGAGTCCCTCAGTCGAGGTGACCCTTGTAGGCTTTTTCTAAGGGTCCTGGCCCTTGTTTCTTTTCTTTTTCTCTCGCCGAGTCCATGCTCGAGGCGACTCCTGTCTACGATTCTTCTTCTCTGAGTAAACTTCTTGGACTCTTGGTACTTTTACTAACTCGAGTGACTCTCGGTTGTTGCTCTTACTTTTCCTTCTCTTTATATAGCCCCTTGTAGATGAGAAATGACTCTCGGTTGTTGCTCTTACTTTTCCTTCTCTTCCTTCTCTTTATATAGCCCCTTGTAGATGAGAAATGACTCTCGGTTGTTGCTCTTACTTTTCCTTCTCTTTATATAGCCCCTTGTAGATGAGAAATTCCATGTACAAGTAAATTTTGGAAAAGTTTATGCAGAAGGATCAAGAGTTGGCCTTGAAGCGCCTTAGTATTTCCCACCGAGCTGCAAGAATTTCAAAGGCATATTTTATGAGGAAAATAGATGAATGTTGGGGTAAGAGGAGTCGAGCCCTAGCCTCCTGATTTTCTTCTATGGCTTTTACCATTCCTACGCCATTAAATTTGTTGCATTTCCACGGCATTGAACGTAACATATTTCAAGATGGTGCACTGGGACAGTTGTGGGCATGTTACGAGATGTGTCACACTTACGGTACAGAGGCATTTGGCGAGATCTTGTGCAAAAGCTTCTTCTCTCTTTGACTCGGCGGACTCTGCATTCAATGTGCGATCGAGTCGACCGAATCTTCTTCCAGCATGGTGGATTCGGCTTCATCACCTCTGCTAGCATCCTTTCTTGATGATGAACACTGTTCCCTTA